TATAATTAATAGATTTTCTACAAGGGGTGCTGAGACTATCCAATGGGAAAAGAACAGTTCAACCACAAACAGTCCTGGGACAACAGGATAGGTGTATGTAAAATCATGAAATTGGATTCTTACCTCACATCACATACAAAAATTAACTCAGAACAGGGCTGGGGATTTAGCTCAGTGGTGCCACCACCTGCCTTGCAAGTGCAAGGTCCCGAGTTTGATCCCTGGTACTAAAAGAAAAAATAAAAAAATAAAAACAGATGGAAGACCTAAACGTGATGTCTAAAAATATAAGACTCTTAGAAATTATCACCTTTTTCATGTAAGGAGTAAGGGAGATGCACCTGCCTGGCAAGCAAGAGGCCCTGAGTTTGATTCCTAGTACCAAAAAAAAAAAAAAAGAGTAAGAGAGATGGAACATCATTATCATGCAAATTGAAACTGGAAAAAAATTTTTTTGAGACAGGGTTTCCCCATGTAGTACAGGATGGCCTTTAACTTACCACTAGTACCTAACAGGGTAAAAATCAGGAAGGAACTGAGTCCTGTTGTTGATATCCTCAAAATCCTTAAACCTCAAGAGTTCATAATCAACACTGCCCACTTCCTAAAGACTTTTCAAAAGCAGAGACAGAGGCTGCCACCTGCCTGGCAAGCCCAGAGTCTTGAGTTCTATCTCTGGTACAAAAAAAAAAAAATCAGAAAATGAAAAGCAGAGGCAGAGTCTGGGCATGGTGGTGCATGTCTGTAATCCCAGCACTCAGGAGGCTGAGGCAGGAAGATCACTATGCATTCGAGATCAGCCTGGGCTACATAGTGAGTTCCAGGTCAGCCTCAAGTACATAGTGAGACCCTGTCTCCAAAAAAAAAAAAAAAAAAAGCAGAGGCAGAGCTGGGTGTAGCGGTGCGCTCCTATAATCTCAGCACTCTGTGATGCTAAGGCAGGAAGACTGCAAGTTCCAACTCAGCCTGGGCAATTTAGTGATTTAGGAAGAACCTGTCTCAAAATGATAATAATAATAAAAGGTCTGGTGTTACAGTTAACCGGTTGTATCAATTTGAGTAAGAAACATCCAGCTAAATTGGCTCAGCATAGTTCTGGGTGTAGAAACCCACCGAGGGAGGATTGTCATCTGAATGGTATAAAAGGGAAATGAAGAAGGAAGGCTCACTTCTGCTTCTCTGGAGGAGCTCCAGTCTTCACCTTTACCTTGGATGTCATACCCTGACTTCTAGCACAGACCCTTCAGCCTCCAGTACAGATCCTTCAGCCGTTCACTGAGGACTCTTCAGCCTCCTGATGCAGATGCTACAGCGAGCTCCAGGCCTGTGACTGGATTCTTTAGATCTCCAGTGCATAGACAGACCTTTTGCACTCTTGCACACCTGGCTCTGTGGGTGGTCATTGGAAGACAATCTTGTAAATTCTTATGTATTTGTATATCTTGCATTGAATCTTCTCTATTTAGCACTGACTGATAGAGCTGGGGATGTAGCTCAGTGTGGAGTAGCTGGGTTCAGTCCCCAGTCCCCCAATACCACATACATGATTTTAGCTTTATCATTTCTGTGGAGACACAGTAGCTATCAATGAAGCAGCTGGAAATCTTCCCAACCTGTCAGCATGACAGTTGTGGCTGTCCTAAATGCTCAGCAGTCTCCAGGAGACATCTCCCTTGACCACAGAAGGTTTAAAACTCAGACCCATCCCATAAGAGCCCTGCCCTGCCTTTCTTGTCATTACTGTGAAAGTTGACAAGCAGGTCTGGAAAAATGTACAGAACTGTGCATGGCAGGCTGCTGCTGCTCCGTAGAAGGAGGGCTCTGTCCACTGTACCCCACTGTACTGCAGTCTTGTTTAGGGGTCCCCTAAATCCAGCTGAGATTTATTTTCTCAGGTAGTATGGGCAGAACAGGTTACATTAAAGGGAGTTGGTGGCACTTCAGGATGCCATCCCTGAGGAGTTCCAGACAGCAATGGCAGCAGCCACAGAAATTGGTGGTAACTAACAGCAAAGACCAGCAGTGGTGACCAGCATCAACCAGCAGTTACTGACAGAGACCTACAGTGTCTCACAGAGAGCCCCAGAGAGGCAGCAAAAGTCACTGAAAGAGTTCCAGAAAGCTGACAAAGGGGCTAAGGACCTCAGTTGTTGAGAAACTGATAGGAGTAGCTAGGAGCTGTGAAGAATTGTTCATTCTAGGAGCTGTGGAGTCTTTCACACTAGAAGCTGTGGAGTCATTCACACCAGGAGCTGTGGAGAGTCTTCACACTAGGAGCTCTGGAGAGTTGTTCATACTAGGTACTATAGAGAGTCATTCACACTAGGACCTGTGGAGAGTTGTTAACACTAGGAGATGCAGAGAGTTATTCACACTAAGAGGTATGGAGAGTCATTCACACTAGAAGTTGTGAAGAATCATTCACGCAATGCCCAGAGCTGCTAAAGGAGCTGCAGTTTGCCAATTTGTGAATTCCCCCAGAATTGAGCCAAAGAACCACAGATGCTTAGAAACAATGTTATTTTTTAATTTTTAAAAATTGTTTTAATTTTTCTTAGTACATGTTTGAGCTATATAATGATTACATTCATCATGGGAAGCTGGTATATACACAACACATCTTAATTCCATATATGTCCCCTTCCCCTGGTAACAGTTTTATGACAGAAAAGGGCTGAAGATAGTAAAAAACAACAAACTGGAAGGCAGATTGATTATTTCAGTTACTTTCCTTGTAAGGCATGAACAGAGAAAGAGCAATAGAAAAAATAACTGATTCATTAACATCAAGTTACTTTAAATTACCTTTTGTGTGTGAGAATTAAGGGAGATAGAACTTCATTATCATACCAACTCTGGGATTTTTTTTTTTTTTTTTTTGGTAAGATTTAAGTCTCACTTTTACTCCTGGAGCATGAACAGCCAAGAGGCTTCCACGATGCTGGGCTCAGAAGCTCAGTGAGGCTCCAGGAGCTTGTCAGACAGCGAGAGTCACCCAGGAAGGAACACACCAGGCAAGTTGGCAAATAGATCTTTATTAGTCTGGCCAGACGGCACTCCCCAAGCCAAGTAGCTCAGAGAGGCAGCTAGCTCAGAAACAGAGGCCATTTTATTTAGGGCTAAGGTGGGGTTTACACTCAAAATTTACAGGAAGGGGACAAAGGCAAAGAATCAGTGGATCTGAGCTAGTGGTCATCAAGCAATATACTTGACCGTTACGTACTAATGATCAGCAGATCGATTATCCATTATTCCATTTACAATTTAGATTATAATGTTCAGAACATTCAGCTACAGGCAAACAAGGAGTGGCGTGATTGATGTTGGGTCTCTGTGTTCACTACAGTTTTCATTTAGTTTCCCAGCTACTTCAAAGCAGTTACCTAACAATTCACAATTAATCATTAGTTATCCTATAAGGGATAGCGGGGAGCAACAGTCTCTAAGTCATTTGCTGGTCAACATGGAGTCACTCTAGTTCAGTCAGACTCTTACATTTTGAGACAGTGTTGCTGTGTAGTTCAGGCTGGCTTTGAACTCACTATGTAGCCCAGGCTGGGCTCAAATTTATAGTGATACTCCTGCCTCAGCCTCGCAAGTGCTGGCATTACACGTGCATAACACCACGCCCAGGTTTGTTTGAGAATTTTTGCTATTGTCTCTGTAATCCTAATTTCTTGAAAGATAAAATTAACTGTTTAGTTTCAGTTTGTGATGTTGAACTTTAAGAGTGATTCTACTTTTGCCAGGTGTGGTGGCACACAGCTGTGATCTCAGCACTCAGGAGGCTGAGGCAAGAGGATCACTTTGAGCATTTGAGGCCAGCCTGGGCTACATAGAGTTCAAGGCCAGCCTGAATTACAAAGTAAGAACCTGTCTCAAAAATATATATATAAACAAACAAATAAAAAAGTGACTCCACTATTTATTTATTTTCTGTGGGGTGTGTGTGTGTGTGTGTGTGTGTGTGTTTGAGGCAGGGTCTCACTATGTAGCCCAGGCTGACCTTGAACTCACTATGTAGCCCAGGCTGGCTTCAAACTCCAAGTGATCCTGCCTCAGCCTCCTGAGTGCTGGGATCACAAGCATGCGCGAGCATGCCCAACTAATCACATAAATACATTATGTATAGAACACATTTTGTTTCTCTATTTTGTAGATGGATGCTTGAGTTTGTTCTATTAGTGTATTATTTTCAAATTTTGGTTTATTATGAATGAACACTTTGGATGTACAGTTTTATTTCTATTGTATAAATTTAGGAGTTCAATGGCTGGATTTTATTGTGAGTCTAAATTTTATTTTTTGAGCCAGCTGGCCTTCAATTCACGAGTTTAAATACTTCTGCCTGAGGGAGGATCGCTGTGAGTTCGAGAGCAGCCTGGGCTACATAGTTCTAGGGCAGTCTCAACTACATAGTAGGACCCTGTCTCAAAAAACCAAAACACAAAAACAAAAACAAACAAAACCTTCTGCCTGAGGGCATGAATTTTGCAAGAAAGCCAAACTAATTTTCAGAGTGGGTCGGAAATCACAATGGATAAGGGTTCCAGGAATTCCCATTTCTGCCTTGTTTAGTAGAGATTCTAATTTTTAGTCTCCCGATAACGATGTTAAACATCCTCTTTTATGAACTACGTTCAAAATTTTTTTCCCCCGGTGCTGGGGATTAATCCCCCTCACATTCTAGACAAGCGCTCTACGCTGAGATACGACCCAATCCTTTTCGAGGGCCTTGTTATATAGACTATATTTTGCGGTTTACATCGTCCAGCTTATGGTTATCCGTGTTTATGACTTTCACAGGACTTAACCGACCAGCGTCCTACGGAAGTAGTACAGTTCGGATTCAGAACCGTTCAACATTTGCCCACGCGACCGGCGGTGAGATCTAGGGCTCAAACGGTGATTGGCTGAAGCAGAACTTCCGCAGGCTCTTCCGGCTCCTGGCCCTGAATATCGGTGACTGGCTGGCCTGGTCAAGCGCGGAGCTTCCCGGGAGTTGTAGTTCTTGTAGCTCAGTTGGGGACGCCCGGAAGGGTTATTGTGGTTGGAGACTCCCAAGAGGCGATAGCGTTTGTTCGAGATATCTGGCACCATGTCCCGCTTGTCGGTGCCCTGTCACGTGAAAGGCGCCGTAGCCCTGCAGGTGGGCGACGTGCGGACTTTCCAAGGCCGGCCCGGCGTGGTGGTCATCGATGTCACCTTCCCTAGTGTCGAGCCTTTTGAGGTGAGCCAGCCGGGTGGGCGGAATGGAGCTCCTGGGCGGGGCAACGGGGAACTTGGGCGTTGTCCAAGCGCTTAATCTTTTACCTAAACTTCTGCAGCGTCTCCGGGGAACTAGGTAATCATTCAGTTACTTCTAAGGTAGTACCCACAGTATTTACTAGAATTGCCCACCCTGTCTTGTTCTCTTCAAAATCGCGTCCCCATGTTTCAGAACAGTACTGGCACAAAGGTGCCAATAAGTAGGCTAATTGGTGCTGGAAATACAAATGTGAACTGAAGAGTCTGAGCGCTGTTTGTTCTTGGCCAAAGCTGGAGATTATTAAAAATTACTTACCTTAGCTCAGAGGTTCGGTGGCCTGCCTTGCAAGCGCAAGGACCCGAGTTCAATCCCCGGAACAAAAAAATAAAAATAATAAAAATAAAAAATACTTACCTTAAACCGGCCTCCTCCTCATTCCTACAGTCCTTACCAGAGATCAGAGTAGAACCTCCTTGGCCTAGCATGGTGGTGCACATCTGTAATCTCAGCACTCCAAAAGCTGAGGCAGGTGGATCCCTGCAAGTTCACTAGGCTACCTAGTGAATTCAAGGCCAGCTAACAACTTTCTAGTGACTCCAATTTTCTTTTCTTTTCATTTTGTTTGTTTGTTTGTTTTTGAGACAGGGTCTCACTATGTAGTTGAGACTGACCTGGAACTCACTATATAGTCCATGCTGGCCTTGAACTCCCAGCCATCCTCCTGCCTCAGCAAACACACACACACACACACCCCCGTGCTGGGATTACAGGCATGTGCCACTATGCCCGGCTGTGATTCCAGTTTTCTGTCTCCAGTTGCACTTTTATTTCAGCTGACAGACTAACTGGACACTTCATGATTTCAACACAAACGGCAAAACCTATTTCTAATGGCTTGGCCTTCAGAGCCACTCTGTGTCTGTGCCCCACCTTCCCTCTTGGGCCCAAGCATTACAGTATGGAGTTATCTCCCAAGCTGTTCCATATAGTCAAGTGGAAAACCTAATTAAAGGAACAGACCCATGCTGGGCGTGGTGGTGTATACCTGTAATCCCAGTATTTGGGAGGCTGAGGCTGGAGAATCAAAGCAAGTTCAAGGCCAGCCTGAACTACATAGTTAGTTCCAGCCCTGTCTGAACTACAAAGCCATACCCTGTCTAAACAAAACAACAACAACAAAAGAGGAACTAATCCAGGAAATCCTCAGTAGGTTTGAGATGTAATTTGGACACCTGTATTTTTTAAAACTTCCTGGGGTAATTCTGATGTATCGCCATTGATGAGAACCACTGCTGTAACAAGGCTGAATTGCTTGCTTTTGTGTACCAGGTTCTCTCTGTAAACTTTTCTGTACATGCTATTTTTACATCTCCACTAGGCAAACTTTCTTGGACCACTGGGCAAACTTTTCCTGGTTTAGATCCCATGCCCATGTCTACATTTTCTCCCTCCTCTGGGTTTAGGACTGTGACACTTTTTTCTTTTTTGTTTCGAGACAGAATCTCACTATGTGTTGTTTTTTTTTGTTTTTGGTACGGGGTATCGAACTCAGGACCTTGCTCTTGTGAGGCAGGTGCAATGACACTGAGCTAAAACCCCCAGCCCTAGGATCTCACTATGTAATTGAGGCTGGCCTTGAACTCACTATGTAGCCCAGGCTGTCCTCAAATTGAAGGTGGTCCTCCTGCCTCAGCCTCCCAAGTGCTGGGATTACAGACATGCACCACTACACTTAGCAGGGCTATGATTTCTTTCTTTTTTTCCTTAAGTTTATTGGTACTTTTTAGGTATACAGTACAGTTACATTCATCACTGGGATCTTGTACCTTTACATGACGTATCTTGGTTCTTTTTTTCCCATACCCTCACCTCTCTTCACTCCCTCCACCCTTCCCTATTTACAAAGACTTTGTTTCCATTTTTTCCTTTTCTCATACTTTTTCTTTTCCCTTCTTCCCTTTCCCCTACCCTTCCCACTTCCCCTACTTCTTTATCCCTTTTCTGCCTATTTCACACTATCAATTATACAATTAGAACCTTATTAACACTTTTAGTTTTTTATACCAGAGAAACTATTTGGTATTTACACATGTGTGTCCTATTTATTTCACTTAAGAGTATGGCCTCAAAATGCATCCATTTAGTTATAAATGACTCTAGTTTCTCATTCTTTATGGCTGAGCAGTGCTCCATTGGGGGGGGGGTACCAGGGATCTAACTCAGGCTCTTGTGCTTGCCAGGAAGATGGCAGAACCACTGAGTTAAATCCCTGGCCCTACTACTCCATTTTATAAAAAAACCACATCTTCTTTATGCAGTCTCCAGTTGATGGGCAATTGGGTTATTTCCAAGTTTTAGCTATTACAAACTGTGCCGCTATAAATATGAGTGTGTATATAGCACAGTGGTATGATTCTTTTAATTCTTTTGGAAAGATACCAAGCAGAAGGATATCTGTGTCAAATGGGACCTCTAATCCTAGTTTTTTGAGGTATCTCCAGATTGATTTCCACAGTGGTTTCACCAGTGTTCTATGATTTCTGATAGCATGTGGACATGTGGCAAGATGTGTTATTTTCATGACTTACTCTTTTAGATTGTGAGAAACTCTGGGAAACTGAAATTGTGTTTGGGCCCCAATGATGTTTGTTGAATTGTTTAGCAGAAGCGTGCATTCTAAAAGAAGAGGAAGCTGGGCATGGCTAATGTCTTTAGTCACAGTTACTTGGGATACTGAGGTAGGATCAGGAGCTCAAACCCATCCTGGGCAGTTTGGCAACTCAGCAGGACCCTGTCTCAAAATAAAAAATAGGAGCTGGTTCATGAAATTAACCAATAACAAATGCTGGCGAGGTTGTGGGGAGAAAGGAAACTTCTTCATTGTTGGTGGGAATGCGGACTGGTGCAACCACTGTGGAAATCAATATGGAGACACCTCAAAGAATTAGAATTACAGGTCCCATTTGACCCAAGTATTTCTCTGCTGGGAATCTTCCCAAAAGAATTAAAAGAACCATACCACTGTGATATATGCACACTCATGTTTATAGCAGCACAGTTTGTAATAGCTAAAACTTGGAAATAACCCAATTGCCCAACACCTGAAGACTGGATAAAGATGTGGTTTTTCTATAAAATGGAGTACTACTCAGCCATAAAGAACGAGAAACTAGAGACATTTATAGCTAAGTGGATGCACAACAAGACCATACTCTTAAATGAAATAAATAGGACACACATGTATAAATATCCAATAGTTTCTCTGATGTGAAAAAACTAAAAGTGTAAATAAGGTTCAAGATGTTTAATTGATATTGTGAAATAGGAAGAAAACATCTAAAGGAGTAGGGGGCTGGAGACAGCTCAGTGGTTCTGCCATCTGCCTCGCAAGTGCAAGGACTAGAGTTCAATCCCAGTACCCCAAAAAATTAAAACATAAAGGAGTAGGGGAAGTGGAAAGAAGGAAAAAGTGGGTAGGGAAAGGAAAGAAGGGAAAAGAAAAAATATGAGAAAAGGAAAAACATGGAAACAAGAGTTTGTAAATAGGGAAGGGTGGAAGGGGTGAAGGGAGGTCAGGGGTATGGAGAAAAAATAAGAACCAAGTATATCATGTAAAGATACAAGATTCCCAATGATGAATGTGACTATATTGTATGCCTAAAAAGTACCAATAAACTTAATGGAAAAAATGAAAAATAAAGACACTTGGGGAAAAAAAAAGAGCTGGGAGGGTCTGGCATGGTGGTGCACACCTGTGATCTAGGACTCGAGGCTGAGGCAAGAGGACTGCTGCAAATTCAAGGCTAGCCTGAGCTACATAATGAGTTCAAGTCTAGACTGAATTACATAGGGAGAACCTGTCTCAAAAAACAGAAAACGGGGCTGGGGATTTAGCTCAGTGGTTGCATCACCTGCCTCACAAGCACAAGGTCCTGAGTTCAATCCCTGGTACCAGAAAAACACAAAAACAAATAAAAAGAGCTGGGAGTATAGCTCAATGTAAAAGTGTTGGGTTCAATCACCAGTATTTTTTTTAGTTTTTGTTTTTTGTTTTTTGTTTTTTTGTACTGGGGATTGAACTCTGGTCCTTGTGCTTGCAAGGCAAGTGGTGGCACCACTAAACTAAATCCCTGGCCTACCAGTATTTTTTTTTTTTTTGTAAAGGAAGGTGGGCTGAGAATGTAGCTCAGTAATAGAGCGCCCCTGGTTTTGATCCTGTAAGGCAGTAAAAAAGAAGCCCTGGACCTGGTTTGTCATGGTGGGTTATATATGCTCTAGTTGCAGGAGATCATATTTAAGAATTACTACACAGCCTTTTTGACCATCCGTGTCCGTCAACATACCTCAGCACACACACCAGCTAAGTGGGTGACCTGCCTGCGGGACTACTGTCTGATGCCTGATCCACACAGTGAAGATGGAGCCCAGGAGTATGTATCGCTATTCAAGCATCAGGTCAGCTGAGCCTCAGCATGGCAAGAGCAGCCCAGATGGGCCGGAGATTTAGCTCAGTGGTTCTGCCACCTGCCTTGCAAGCACAAGGACCCAAGTTCCATCCCCGGAACAACAACAAAAAAAAGAGCAGCCCAGATAAGGACGTCTGAGAGGCCTGGGGATTGGGCCAGTATACACTAGGAGGTGGGGGAGTAAAGACTGGAGTGGGCTGTGGCTCCCAGACATGTACCTTGGACAGAATACAGTTATTTCTTTCCTAAAGATCTGGGGAGGCAGCAGTTTGGCTCACTGCTGGTTGGGAGGTTCCTGGGCAGTGAGCTGGGGCTTTGGTGTGTCCTTGTATATGTGTGTCAGATGCTGTGTGACATGACTAGAGTACTGGAGCTGCGTTTGATTCTGCGTCAGCCTTCACCACTGTGGCTGTCTTTCACAGTGGAAGAGCTACAAATCTACCAGCAGGGACCAAAGGTAAGTGACTAGCCCAAAGATATTGGCCCTTTCCTCAAGAGGCTTCCAGCTATGGCTGGGAGAGCTGGAGTAGTGGGGAGGTGATGGAGGACAATAGTGAGTGTATAAGGAGGCCTTTGTGCAAGTTAGCCAAGTGTGAATGCTGAAAGCTCATGATGAGAGGTGAGGCTCTATCCTTATACTGCCTGACCTTTGGATGCCACTCCCCAAATTCAGAGCTGGAACTTTCAGGAGACACTTTTATAACTTATGTTCCTGTGGCTTTCTTCTACATAGCTGCAGAACTCAGTAGTCTGGCTTTTCTCTGGGGCTTCTGTTGGCTTCCTGAACTGGATTTTGCCAATGTCTGAGATCAAGGCTCTTTTTGTTTCTCCCACTCTGCTTAGGGCAGTATGTCTTTGCTTTGCAGAGCCCCTCTGTGACCTTTCCCAAGTGGCTCTCTCACCCTGTGCCCTGTGAGCAGCCTCCCCTCCTTCTTGAGGTAAGTTCCCACCCTGGGTAAAACCCATGTGTGAATGGCTCTCATGTCCTGCACTGGCCTAGCTGGTTCCCTTTCTGTAAGAATGTGGGGCTGGACCCCAGTGCCTTGGTCCATCTGTGCCATTGTGGGTGTTTTGTGGGATTTGAAATCTCTAGTGTGGGGCTAGGTGGCTTCCTGAACATTCGCAAGTCATCTGGGAATATTGTGGTCTCAGCTGGGGGGACCCATAGCCTAGCTTGGTCTCTCTAGAGTTCTAAGGGCAGTACTGGGGAGAGACCCATGGCCATTGACTCCTCCCTCTGGAGCAGGGTCTCCCAGACCCCAGCAGGGTTTCCTCCGAAGTGCAGCAGATGTGGGCGCTGACAGAGATGATCCGGGCCAGTCACACCTCCAGGAGGATCGGCCGCTTTGATGTGAGTGATCTCTTCCCTCTGCTTGGCCTGCATTGCCCTAAGCAGGTCAGACCTCATAGTCCTTTGTGTTACAGGTGGATGGCTGTTATGACCTGAACTTGCTCTCCTACACTTGAGCTGAGATTTTGGCCTGTCCTTGCCCACCAGACTTGGTTTGGGCCATCAGTGGCAGAAGTGTGTTCCCTGTGCATTCTGACTGTTGTCTGCATGTCCATTCTGTCTGGGCCACGTCCACAGATTGAAGACTCTTGGGACTTATTATGATGCTTCAGCATGAGTTCCTGGCAAGGGTGCTTTCTTTCGTCACCTGGCTGCAACAGAATTCCTTCTACCCTAAAAATATTCCAGTTCTTTTTACTTGAGTACCTCTGCCCATCTTGCCCACATACACACCCGTGTCTTCTGTGGCTCCCAACCCTGAAGTGCAGTGAGCTGGAATAAAACAGTTCCATCTAACCCTGGAAGGACACTGCTGCCTTGGCACTGAAGAAGAAAGAGTTGCCCTGTTCTTCTTCTGGGCCCCAAAGCGGCCTGCTTTCTTTGTACTATGTCCACAAAAATAATTTTTTAAACTTTATTATGTTTTGCCGGGCATCGTGGCACACGCCTGTAATCCCAGCACTTGGGAGGCTGAAGCAGGAGCATCGCTGTGAGTTCCAGACCAACCTGGGCTACATAGTGAGTTCCAGGTCAGTCTTAACTACATAGTGAGACCCTGTCTCAAAAAAAACAAACAAAAAAAAAAACAAAAAAACAAACAAAACAAAACAAAACCCAAACTTTATTGTTTATTAGTACATATTTGTCATATATATGGATCACATTCATCATAGGGAATTTATACCTGTATGTAATACATCTCAATTCTTCTTTTCACAAAAAGAAATTTCTTGTCTAAACTCTTCTGCTACTACCTGCTTGGGAGGCCAAGCTAGGGATTTTGGTAGCCAAGTTCCTAGGTCCCTCAGCTGGCTCTGGGATGTGTGATCCATTGAGCCTGGGCAGTGCTTCTGGCAGGCCTGGGGCTTGAGCATGAGACCAGCAACCTTTCTACCAATCGACACAGCCCAAACTACATCCATATCCTTTGCCCAGTTTCTTTCTTTCTTTCTTTTGAGACAGAGTCTCACTATATAGTTGAGACTGACCTGGAACTCACTATGTAGTCCAGGCTGGTCTCGAACTCACAGCGCGATCCTCCTGCCTCAGCCTTCAGAGTGCTGGGATTACAGGCATGCACCACCATGCCCTGCTTTGCCCAGTTTCTTAAGACATGCTCAGTCTGATAAGGAATCAAATTTGGGAGTAGATCCAAGAAGGGATCTCTTTAGTGCCTTTTGAGAGGCTGATCCCCAGCAGTATTCCAGGCCAACTGCTGAGTGATGCAGGCTGCCGTTTCTTCATGTAAGAAAATCCTGCTTTCCTCTGGTTCTTCCTGGCTGTGCCCCTGGGAAATTATGGAGCAGTACTGCAATGTGTCTTGGTCCTGGAAAATTTGACATGTGTATGGCTCAATATAGCTACCCTTTGGTGTCTATACTGTTCGTACCCATCAGCTTTGCAAGCTGGTATCTTCACCTGTGTGATTATTTACTGAGCCCTACTCTGCTTGTGCTGAAAGGGTGATGACCACAAGTCCTGTGTTCAGGGAACAATGCTCCTCAGTGTGTGTGTGTGTGTGTGTGTGTGTGTGTGTGTGTGTGAAGAGAACCCTTGGGTGTCAGAGATCATGTATTATTCACAGCTGTGTTCCCAGTGCCCAACACAGAGCCTGGTGTCCAGCAAGATTAATAAATATTTCTGGAAGCCAGGCTTGGTGGTACAGCTGAGGCAGAAGGATCATCTTGAGTTGGAGGCCAGCCTGGGCTACATAGATCAACCTTGTCTAAATAAATAGATAGATAGATAAATAAATAAATAAATAAATAAATCTTTGTGTAATGTATGACCGCGCCAGCTGCCTGCCCAGTGGTAAGAGCTGGAGACCCCTACAGGAGACCAGGCTTCAGCCGGTTCCGCCTATCGGCTGGCTCCACCCTCCTGTGACCTCCCCACCCCCACCACATTCTTCCTCTTACCCGCCCGAATTCCCGAATGTGCGATTCAAGCCTTCCAGCTCTTTGTGGAACTTTGGCCCTTTGGAGGCAGGGCAGTTCATTAAGGGGAGGTCTGACCCCCCAGCTCCTCAGCTCCGGTTCTGCCCAATCCACTCTGGACTACGTGAGTCGCCTGATTACCCTGAGGGAAGAGACGGAGGCTTTGGGGGAAATCCCAGCACTTTCTACTCTAGGTCCCAGCTTGCCCTTAGGGCTTCCCATCTCCTTATCTAAACCTGTTTGCACTAGAGAGACCTGTCTCACCAGGAGCTCGGACTACATCTCCCGGCGTGCCTGGCAGAGTGGACGGCTGGCTCCCCTCCTGTGACCTCCCCCCCCCCACCACATTCTTCCTCTTACCCGCCCGAATTCCCGAATGTGCGATTCAAGCCTTCCAGCTCTTTGTGGAACTTTGGCCCTTTGGAGGCAGGGCAGTTCATTAAGGGGAGGTCTGACCCCCCAGCTCCTCAGCTCCGGTTCTGCCCAATCCACTCTGGACTACGTGAGTCGCCTGATTACCCTGAGGGAAGAGACGGAGGCTTTGGGGGAAATCCCAGCACTTTCTACTCTAGGTCCCAGCTTGCCCTTAGGGCTTCCCATCTCCTTATCTAAACCTGTTTGCACTAGAGAGACCTGTCTCACCAGGAGCTCGGACTACATCTCCCGGCGTGCCTGGCAGAGTGGTGGCCTGTGTGTGCCGTCTGCAGTTGCTGCAGGCACAATGCAGCGAGCCGCGAGCCTGGCTTCTCCTCTGAGCTTTCGCCGGCTAGCACTTCCCGCAGCCCTGAGTCGTTCACTCAGTTGTGCACAGGTGGGATAAAGGGTGCTATGGGATTTGGTGCTGATCTTGGAGGGTGCGGGAGGGAGACAGCCAGGGACTAGGGCCCTGGTATGTAGTGCTAAACACAGCTGCCTGCAGGATGTACTCCGCAGGACTCCACTCTATGACTTCCATCTAGCCCATGGCGGGAGAATGGTGGCGTTTGCAGGATGGAATCTGCCTGTGCAATACCGGGACAGCCATGTGGATTCGCACTTGCACACACGTCAGCACTGCTCACTCTTTGATGTGTCTCACATGCTGCAGGTGAGCTAGGGAGTACTAGATGCTGGTTGGGACTGCCTTCTGTCCACAGTACTGCACATCTCTACTTTGCTTGCTGGATTTTTGAAGATAGCCTTCTCAGCAAGGGTTGGAGATCTACAGGGTGTTATGGACAGATTACAGCACCAAGGAAATCGGAGGCTAACTTGAGGGTCTCTTGACCATCTTCTCTCCAGTCTCTCCTGCCTTCTGCTACTAAACCGCATACCCTAATGCTTTGTGTTTTCCAGAACTGATACTGTCATCCATCCGGGTGGGTATGAATTGGAAAAGAGGCTATGTCTGTACACTGCTAAGTTCTTAAACCTCAGCCACTCACAGCCTAGGCTGGGAGATGTGGGGGAATCCAAAGGTAGAACTTCTGTCACCCATAGAACCGACATTGGTCAGTTGCCTCTGGGCTTTCAACTGGACTGTGGATGGCAGGGAGGGTAACTGCTTGCTCAGTGGCTGAAGTAGTAGCCTGAAGCGCTCCATCTCTTCTCCAGACCAAGATCTTTGGTTGTGACCGAGTGAAACTGATGGAGAGTCTAGTGGTTGGAGACATTGCGGAGCTAAAGCCAAACCAGGTGGCGTCTTTTCATTTCTGCTCAGTGGGTGTTTTCAGTCATTAGCCAGCAAGGGGGACAAGTCACTCCCACAAGCTTGAGGGCAGAGAAATAGGTCACACACAGCTTCTCAGGCCTTATTATATTGGGAAACAGAATTCTTGGGTAATTTCCAGACACCTAGCCAGCTGGGATTAGGGGGCTATCCCAGCCTCACCATATCAAACTGGGGGACCAGAAACCAAGGTCTATGAGCAGTCCCCTGACTTTTCATGCTGCCTTCCACCTGGCTGCTCCAAGTATAGTCCATAAATTAGCAGCCTGTCTCCCAGGAGCTTATAAAGAATGGACTATGAGGTACTGCTTTAGAGCTATAGAATCAACCTTCATTTTAACAAGATCCCTGGGTGACTTATGTGACCTCCCAGTCTTGAAACTTGTACAGCCTGAGCCCTGTGCATGGGGGATCTGTGAGTTGGTGCTGGCTGAGTGGGTCCAGGGGTATGTTGGGCTCACCCTTGGCCTTGTTCTCTGGATCTGGGACAAAGATGCTACACTTTAATGTTAGGGGACACTGTCGCTGTTTACCAATGACGCTGGAGGCATCTTGGACGACCTGATTGTGACCAGTACTTCTGAGGGATACCTGTATGTGGTGTCGAATGCTAGCTGCTGGGACAAGGACTTGACCCTCATGCAGGTACAGTCCATTTATGTTTTAGGCACTGTCTTCCTATTTATAAAGAAGCATTTTAAAGCAGCAGGTTGTCCAGGAGAGACTTGGCACAGACGAGGAGATGACTCTGAGTGAATGAACTACTATGAGACTTAAGAGCAGACCTTCCTTAGAACATGCCAGCCTTTGGTGGTAGGGATGTCAAGTTGATCCTGGCCCCTACGTGATCATTTTATATTTTTTGGTACTGGGGATCTAACTCGGGACCTTGTGCTTGTGAGGCAGGCGTGGTGCCATTGAGCTAAATCCCCAGCTAAGCGATCATCCTTTGAGTATGAGAGATAGGAGTATTGGGCTTAGGTTATACATACCACTCAGTAGCTGTGTGACCATGTAAGATGGGAGCCAGTCTTATTGCCCAGCCCTGTAGTATCCAGCATATGGCAGGTGGTCAGTAAGTGGTACTCTACCAGACACTGATGTGATGTTTCTGTCTTTCCTTTCAGGACAAGATCAGGGAGCTTCAGAGCAAGGGCAGTGATGTGAGCCTGGAGGTAGTGGATAATGCTCTCCTAGCCCTGCAAGGTGAGACAGCTGGGCAGAAGTTGGAGCCAACTTATGCCTTCCTGGCTTCATCTACTGCTTAGCAAAGAGGCTATTCTAAAAAGGCATAGATGGTGTGATATTTGTGTGTTATAATTCTAAATCAGGTATCCTATGCTCCCCACCCCCTCTTGCGAAGTTCTATTGAGTCCATGACCTAGAGGGGATGGGCACCTTCTTTCACTTGCAGAGAAAAACTTGCTCAGAACCTGTTCTGGTCCCTGAGAAAAGGCTACCGTCCAGTTTTGAGGGGGTACTGGGACCAGGATGCTTAGTCAGTCACTGGCTTCCTGGGCTCAGGCCCCACTGCAGCTCAGGTGCTACAGGCTGGTGTGGCAGAGGACCTGAGGAAACTGCCCTTCATGACCAGTGCTGTGATGGAGGTGTTTGGTGTATCTGGCTGTCGAGTAACTCGCTGTGGCTACACAGGAGAGGATGGTGTGGAGGTATGTCAAGAAGCAGGTATAGGGCTAGGGATTTAGCTCAGTGGTGCCACTTGCCTGCCTCACAGGCACAAGGTCCTGAGTTCGATCCCCAGTACCTGCCCCCCAAATAAAAGAAGTAGGTATAGAGTGGGGTGGGGATTTATCTCAGTGGCACTATGCCTGCCTCACAATTACCTGGTCCTGAGTTCAATCCCTGGTACCAGGAAAAAAAAAAGTGGGTGTAGAGCAGAGCAGGGCACAAGACTCTGGGGGAAACTGTTCACTGCTCTCTGGATTTCCTTGTAGATTTCTGTGCCAGTAGCTGGGGCAGTCCATGTGGCAATGGCTCTGATGCAAAACCCAGAGGTGAAACTTGCAGGGCTGGCAGCCCGGGACAGTTTGCGCCTGGAGGCAGGCCTCTGTCTATATGGAAATGACATTGATGAACATACCACACCTGTGGAAGGAAGCCTCAGTTGGACATTGGGTAAGCCAGATTAGTATCATGGGATTCTGGAGGTTGGTGTGAACTTTAATGACAGCCAACCTATGACTGCTCTTAAGTTTGTGTAGGCTAGAGAAAGTTACTAAGCTTCTCTGAGCCTCCATTCCCTGAAGGTGCCCCTGTGTTTTTGCTATTATAAATTGAGGGCCCTAGAACGGCATTTAGGGGTAGGAGGTAGTTGGATGACTGCAGAACAGGGAAAGAATAGAGCTCCAGGGAACCCAAATGAAGGGATTTTTGTAGCTGAGCCTGGGTCCTGAGCCCTATGTTCGGGCACCACTGTGGCCACCACCTGGCTGGCCTTATTCCTTGTTCCGGGACCTAGACTCGCTACTTTGTTCTGACTTGGGAGTGAACCAGGATCAATGACAAAAAGACACAGAGTCAGTTTAACATTCAGGCGGCTAGGGGACTCTTGCCTCTTAGTAGGCAGAAGACCCCTGCCCCCACAATCTGACTCATCTTACCTTTATTCATCCAAACTCAGGCACAAGCAATCAGAGCAACACAATATTCATCTGCTTTCCAATACCATTCATATATACTCTGGTAAACAAGTTAATCTCAGGTGTTTTTAGTTTTCCCTAGACCCTGCAATATACAATCACCCCTGAGTGCAGCCTTTCTCCTTTGTACTCACAGGGGAGGTCAATTAGGTTTCAATTCTCCTCTGGTCTCCAACAGGCCTTGATACATGATGGCTGTAACTTGGGGTCCTCATAGCTAGGGCCTCTTGTGATCAGGCTTCTTGGGCTGGGACTTAGGTCTGGTGTCTCATGCCCCAGGGAAGCGCCGCCGAGTTACTATGGACTTCCCAGGAGCCACTGTCATTGTTCCCCAGCTGAAGGGCAAGGTGGAGCGGAAGCGTGTGGGGTTGATATGTGAGGGAGCCCCGATGCGGGCACACAGCCCCATCCTATGCACAGAAGGCACCGTGATTGGTAGGTAGTCCAAGGGTGCTGGGAACCTTTGTGCCTTCCCTAGAAGGGTGGGGGAATTGGGTTGGTAGGATGGTATTGATACATGGACTGTTCTTGGCTAGGTACTGTGACCAGTGGCTGTCCATCACCCTGCCTGAAAAAGAACGTGGCGATGGGTTATGTACCCTACAAGTATAGTTGGCCAGGGACACAGTTGCTTGTGGAGGTGCGGCGAAAGCAGCAGATGGCCATTGTCAGCAAAATGCCCTTTGTGCCCACAAACTACTACACTCTCAAGTGAAGATGGCCGGGGCAGGGTCCGCCCCTCCAGTCTTGCCCTGGGACACAATTCTACAGAGCTTAGTCAAGACAAGGCAGAACTATCGAAGGGGCAAGCAGCTGAGTAAAGCTTGGGCTGCCCCCAACACAGGCTCCTCTAACTTTAGGACCACATTTCTGATTGACCAGCTTACTCAATGCCCCGTTTCTGCCCGATTCCACTGATACCACTCTGCCAGGTGCTGTTGTGGCGCAAATGCTCACCTTTGTGAGTGGGTAACATCTGGCCAACCTACCTCACTATGGTTTCTCATCTTTCAAAGATGGGCAGTGTAGCATTAGGCCATCTCCTCTACTTTACTTTCCATGAATGCAAACTGGCCCCTCCACTGGACAGGAATGATCGCTGACTCATCAGAGCATTGACTCAGTTATTCCTTTATGTAAACAGGGACAGCTGAGCAGATGTAGACTCTCTTCCATTCCCATTGGCTCAGCTACTGCCCAGTAGTAAATCATGGCATGCTTACCACCTGGGCTGACCTTTGCCCCAGGGCCTATAACTGGACTTTACTGACTCTAGAAAAAAATTAAACAAGATTCCTTCCTTACTTGACATGGCCTCTACCTTCATTGTTGTTTGTCTACAAGATTCTCGAGATATCATCCAATCTCTTGGCCTATAATACAGACTTAAGAGTAGGTTCGCTTTGTAGGCCAGATCTGTAAGAAGCCACCAGGAGACTGAGGATTTTGCTCAGTGTTAAGCACTTGTAGCATGGACCTTAGGTTCAATACCCAGGACCACAAAAAATCAAAACCCAAACCAACAGGATACTAACCCTATTGAAAACCCCTATCACCACCACTCCTCCAGGGAGCTGGCATTCTTTTTCCACCTTTGCAAACCATTGCATTCTTGCTCCTGAAGGGCAGTAGCCTTCAGGGTAGTCCCTCACCAGCTGCCCTTGCACACTCATTTGTATTTTTTAAATAACCACACAACTGGTGCACTTCTGTGTTTAATAAGTCATACTTTCAGGTGAGCCTGGCTAAAATGTGAGCCCCAAATCTGTGTGGCGGTTTCAATGGGTGGGGCTGGGGACTTCTAGTGTATCTCTGCTGCAGTTTGCCACGGCAAAGGGCTTTGCCATGGCAAAGTCTGCCAGATGTGACATCTAATGAAAAAGCAGGCAGTGGAACACTGAGATAGCAGATGGCTCAGCAGTAGTAGGCAGCAGGACAGCCATTAGGAAGAAGGTACATCTAGGGCCACAATACTTTCAGGAAGCAGCGTTTCTGTGGAGGCATTTGCCACCTACTTCTTTTGAAATCTCTCCTGCCCATTACAAAGGGTCTTAGGCTGCCTGGCCTATGGATCTTGCATGTTGAGAGCTCTCAAGGGTTGAGACAGTGCTAGTGGGCTCTCAAGATAAGGACTCTGTTCCACAAGAAGATGGGAAATGGTAAGACTGCAGTGCATGATGGAGCCACTTTGTACAAACTGTTTTGTACCTCCCTAGGAGGAGGTGTAAGGATAGGCCCAATGGCACTTAAACAGTAGGGGTGGGAGCCCCAGGGACCCAGCTAGTGGACACTGTCTTAGGCGTCTTACTTTCCCCTGAGGACGGACATATATGAAGACAGCTGAGAAATGATAATTTTTGCCTGCCTCATACCTCAAAAGCTCTGTTTGGGTCTGGGAAGTGGGTGTTTGGTGCCTCCATCTGGCACCATCTAGATGATGCCAGCAAGGACAACTTGTCTTATACTTCAGTAGCTGACTAAATAACCATAGAGTAAGCCTGGTCTAGGCCAGATTACTTGGCTCCCTGACTGTAACAAAGTGAAACCAAAGAAATTCAAGGTGTATGCAAGAACAGATTTTCCTTACAAATCCCAGAACTGATCAACCTCAGGCTTCCTCTCAGAGAGACAAATCGCTATGTGGTCATATCCCAGAAAGATGCGAAGGGACAGGAAAAAGTCAAGACAGAAAAGGGACTGTGGACCTCCTCAACACGGGTTCTCCTACACTGACCCCTTAGAGAGAAAAAACATGTTTTCTCTCCTTAAGAGTCCTAGACTAGGGAAGAGGCAAACTCTTCAATGGCCAGGTACCTGGGGCTATTGGAGCCAAGGCTGAAGGCTATGGAGGTCCAGCCCTGCAAGCACTGGGGTACTTCCTGACCCCAATTCTGGACCCCCTGAAGTCATTCTTGGGGTCTGAGCAGCAGCAAGACACTGTAGGAACCAGGCATGCTGGTGAACACCTATAATCCCACCACTTGGGAGGCTGAGGCAGGAGGATCTCTGTGCGTTCAAGAGAAGCCTGGGCTACACAGTGAGACCTTGTCTCAAAAAAAAAAAAAAAAAAAAAAAAAAAAAAAAACA